TAAGAAGAGTTTCATGTGGTGGAAGCAGAAGCACAGGGACAACGCCACTTTGAAAGGTTTCTCTCTTTTTTTCCACCCTAAAACGCAAGTTCCAAGAGGAATTGGTGTGGATATCTTAAGCACAAAGGTTAAGATATGTAATTAAATGAATGCATGAGGGATTGACTGCAGATCCTACAAGTTAACTTGAACGCTGGTTAATAAGTGGCATAGGACACTATCACATTTGGAAGCGATGTGACTCCCAGTCACTCTCGCTATTTTTTACTTCTCAAAGTGTCATGTAAGACAAAGTTCATGTTATCAGAATCTACTAGCATGAATGCTTTCCTAAATATGCCAGAGGAAACTCACCATGCACAAGGTACACAACACACACGCATATGTATGTACACTGATATAAACAAAGAACAAAACAAAAATAGTTCATGTTCCTCGCTATCTCGAGAAACCCAAGTGAAATAGCAAACTGCTGGCTCATTTCAACATTTATTTATCAGTTTCTTTCTTCCTTATTTTCTACAAAAAAAAAAAAAGTTTAACTGGACTATAGTTCTATATAGTTCACATTTGAGGAGAAAGTGCCATATCCACAAACTTGAGCATTTAAACAAGTTTCATAATAATATTAGTAATGCATACACACATAACAGTTTTAAGTTTTAAATGTTCAGCTAATGAAAGAGAAAATTTTCACCCAGAAATCATTTAGCAAGCAAAATGTTAATGGCAAATAAAATTAAAATTTGTTTCAAGTCAGCTCATTAATTGCATATTAAAAAACTAGTTTAAGGAATTAGAAATATTACTGCTAAGCAGAAAAAAATGCCCTCTGGGTTAAGTTTTTTCTCTTAAATATTCTAAATAAGCTGATTTTTATCTATGATTTTCCAAATAAGTTCACTGCATATAAAATCCCGGGCTGCTAGGTCTGGCAGAGTAGTGTGAAACAATGGTCTATATTCTGTCAATTATATTTTAAATAAACGCTGATTGGACAATAGTCAGGTAAGAAGTATAAGCGGGACAACCAGACAGGAAGTAGAGGCGGGTCAATGAGAACAGGAGAATTCTGGGAAGAGGAAAGCTTGGTCTGTAGTCCTGACCTGGCCACAGAAGAAGCAAGATGTGACTGCCCTGCCAAATAAGGTACTGAGCCAAATGGCTGACACAGATAAGAATAATGGGCTAATATAAGTTGTTAAGAGTTAATAAGAAGCCTGAGCTACTGGGCCAATCAGTTTATAACTAATGTAGACCTATATGTAATTTCATGACTGCAGGAACTGGGCAGAACAGAAACTCAGTCAACAGCAGGGAACAAAGTAAGTTACAGCACATGGGCACATCTAGTCTCGAAGCCTAGGACTAGTATGGTAAGCAGAGGCCAACATGTTCCAAAGTACCTCCCTACAAATGGAACTGCAGCATAGCCCCCAAAGGCTCCGTGGCTTATTTCTTATTCCTTCAAACTTGAAAACTACACAAAGTCCCATTCACTGACAAAATCATGCTACAGTGAAGCACTGGGTCAGTCTGTCCAGGCTATACCCACCCTCCAATGCCCACTTCCTGGCCTCGTCAACAAACACCAGTCTACCATGTTTTATTCAGTATGTTCTCTGTACGATTTCTTCAAAACTTGAAGCAATGTTCCCATTAACATGATTCAAATCTCCAATAAAGTTTTATCTGCATTAAAAACTGTCTTAACTGGATAAATGTTCTTGTAATCTCAGCACTCAGAAACTGAGGTAGAAAAAATGAGTTCCATACCAGATTGAGTTATACAGCAAAAATTTATCATTAATAACATAATAATAACAAGAAATGAGGAGGAAGAGAAGGAGACCGTGGGATCTGAACTCTTTCCTCTTTGTTTCTTCTAGACAGGTCATTCATGGCTCATGAAAATACTTTATCAGTTAAGACAGTCTGTCTGGGCTAGGAGATGGTGGCACATGCCTTTAATCCCAGCACTTGGGAAGGAGAAGAAGGTGAATCTCTGTGAGTTTGAGGCCAGCCTGGTCTACAAGAGTTCATTCCAGGACAGGCTCCAGAGTTACAGAGCTACAAAGAAACCCTGTCCCAAAAAATAAATAAATAAAAATAAGTAAATATATAAATAATTTTTAGAGACCGAATAAATAAATAAGAACTGTCAGATACTTGAGGATAACGTAAATAAGATATTAAAAAGGGATGCTTTTTTTCTAGTGACACTTCAGTTTTTTTATTTTTTTAAAAAATAAAGCTTGATTGAAGATCAGAGAGTTAATCAACCCCACTGATCAACCTTACAGACCAGACAGTGATAATACACACCTTTAATCCCAGTAGCCACACTAGTTGCCATAGAAACTGGGTAGTGCATGCCTTTAATCCCAGTGGTACACGCTTTTAATTCCAGAACTAGAGAGGATTATAAGACAGGAGGAGACAGTTCTCAGTATCAGTCTCATTCTGAGATTCCTAGAGACAGGACTGTCATTTTGGACAGAGGTCAAGGAAGAGCCAGTGGCTGGCTGTTTTGCTTTTCTGATCTTCAGGTTGAACCCCAGTTTCTCTCTCTGAGTTTTTGTTAATTGTGCTTCAGTTTTTTTAAGTCAAAAGAAGTAACTCTGTGATGAACATCTAAGGTGATAGATTTCCAGATCACTATTTAGTTAGTTAAGAACCCATAACATGCACTCACCTCACAATTACCTTTACATGTCACCATCTATTCTCCTTAGCAGATCTCAAGAGACAGTGGTGAGAAAAGGCAATCCCAGTCAGTGTAGGAAGTCAATTGCAAGCACAGAATCAAACATCACTTTTAAATTAATAATTCAAAGATCATTATAATGCACACAGTATATGCTATGTTCAGTATAAGCTTGAACATAGTAGACAGACAGCAGCAGCCTCACTCATTCCCATATATTCTTTTCTCCATGTAAAATACTCTTATATTGCTCTCTGAGCTCACTGGTGTTTATAAGGACAAGTAATATTTGAAGGTGTTTTAATTGCCAATATACAGAAAATACTGCTAACTTATGATAGTTAATGTTATCCTACAAAGCCACTGTGACTACAGACATAGCAAAGAAAGAAGCAATGTGCACACAGAGAAAATACAGGGTTGATTTCCTAGAAGCTTTCAGTCATGTAGTTGCCACCTGATCAATACATAACATTCTATGTGATTCTGTTTAAATGCCCTTTATATGGTTAATATATTGCATCATCAGTAATTTCACAATCAATACCTAAATGAAGCTTCTAACATGTGTTATTTCTCAGTTGCATCTCAAAACTTCCTATACTCAGAGGTTCTAGAAAGAACTTCAGAACAATGGTTGGCAGCCATTTTAAAAAGTAAAATCAATAATAAAAACCATTATTAGTGTCCAAAATATGATACCAAACAGACCAAGCAAACATTCCCTGTTTCAGTGCGAGTTAAAATGTGAAGGAAGAACAGTGCCTGGTTCAACTACAGCAGCGGCAGGCATGCAGATCAGCCTACCCTCATTTCCCTGCCCCATATGTCAGGCAGTTAGTGCACCATCTCAAGTCCTGATATTAGGCACAATGAATTCTGAAGAGTGAGCAAATACAAATACAGAAGGCTTGCAGGATGCACACTGAGTGGATACCAAGACGCTGTTCACAATAGATGCCTCACAGGTAGGGAAAAGGTGGCTAGGAAAAGGAGGTAGAGAAACTTGTGTTTTACTCTAAACTTTTTTATCCTTTGAGTTTTGCAGAGACAGAGAGAGAGGGAGGAAGCAGACAAGAGAGAAAACACTCACAATGAAGTTTATGATGATATATGTATATAAGAAAAAATTTTAGCTTTGGGTTTAAATAGTAAAAAAAAATGAGACGAAGGAAGAAAAAGGAAAAGGAAACAAAAAAAATGAAAGAACCATCTATTTTCCCTGCATTAAGGCAACTGTAAGCAGACTCTCACATGAGGAAATGGCATATAAAACGACTTAAAAGCAAATAACACTAACACCTTAAGTTCTTAGTTCCCATGAACAGAAGAGGCCACAGAGAATACAACACATGCGGAAATTGTTTCCAAAGAACTGCATCAGAAAAGTCGTTTTACACTACAGCTATGCTGCTCCACCAGGAAATTTAAATATACTATTTTGTACAACGCTTAAAAATTATTCTGTGTAGAGCAGTAGCTGCTCCCAAGGCCGTCTCCACCAGCAGCATCAGCAGCTGTAAGCAGGGTTTTACCCACGTTCCTGAACAGGTACTGAGAGAGTGGGCAGTCACTACTTTAAAAACCCTCAGGAAAGATTCTGAGGTCAATTAAAATTTAGCTATCATGAAAATAAAAACTATAAGCTATTAGAAACATTAAGCTTTTCCTATTGACAACAGTTGACCATTAAAAGAACCTGTGGCTATTTTGTGCAATCACACGAGAGTCACAGACCATATATACATGTCATTCCCTTTACATAATTAACGTAAGAAAGAAAACTAATTTTGGTAAAAAAAAAATAGAACAATACACTCCTCTGGCAAGCACTGGTAATGAGTGACTGGAAATGGGACAGAGGGCACTTCTTAACATTGACGATGGTGTTTAATAACTTGACAGGTTTGAATTATAAAGATGCAAATATTCACCACAAAGTGATGGATGATATACCTATTATCTGTACATTTCATTGAATATAGAATTTGTGTGAGTGAATCACAGTCATGTATGAATATGAGCTCTAGTTAGGTAGTTGTCTGCATTTAAGAGGAAGTCAGCAACTCACTGTGAAAATCTTCCCTCATGAAAAGAAAGATGGATCTGTAGGTGGAGAGTGGAAAAGCAGGTAGAAAACATGCATGATACATGTTTAGTGAAGAATGCAGGTGGAGCTTTATGGAAATGCACCATGAAGCTGTATGCGTGAAAATAAAATATTAGCAGGATAAAGATTAGGGGCTGAGTTGAACCAAAAGTACTATGGTGTATTTAGATGTCTGACTCCTACCTGTGGGCATGGATTTCAAATCCTAGAACACTGGGACAGCGGCTTGGGCAGTGAAAATGGGGTTCAGACTGTGATAAAAAGACAGATTTAAATCAGAAACTTCCATTTCACAAAAAAAAAATAGTAATAGGCTACAATGACAAAAGCAATGTGAATACATACAGGACACAATTATTGCTGGAGATAATTATGAATTTCAGACACACATATACCATGGGCCTTAGTAAGGAATAACATAACACTTCTTTATTCAGGAATACATGAATAACACACACAGAGCTAGGAGAAAGTTTTTACTACGCAGCCCTCAAACTCAGAATAAGCTTCCTTTCTCAGCCTCCTTGTATTTCATTACAGGTGAAAACCACCAAGTGTAGCCAATACTACCCAACAGCTGGCTTCATGTCTTGACTCCACAGACGGCTGATTTTCTGAGACATCAGAATGAGGGTAGCTAGGAGCTGAAGGCACTGCTGGTCTGGAGCCACTGTTTCACACCACCAGGCCATGAAGCCATCCCCAGCACCCCAAGGTGTCTTTTAATGAGATTTCTCCAGTTATTTTAGTGACAAAGCATTTGGGGGGAAAAAAAAAGGAAGGTGAAAAGAAAAAAAGAAAAAAAACGTCTAGATTCACTATGACAAAATGCTTCAAAACCAAAAAGTCCATTTTCTTTTTAACTACCTAGGAAAGATTATAGGCTTATTTTATGACTTTGACACTTATTTGAAATTCAGATTCTTTAGTATAACTTCATATGAGCTGTGGAGACAATTAATATAATGTGAAAATCTCAGGATAAAGTCAGGGAACAAAGAAAAGGGACGTTCTTAAAGTTCAAACTCCTTCCTAGGCTGCTTCATAGCACTGAACTGTCTGATGCTCTCAGACACACAGTCCACACACTGAGTTGAAATTCTTCCTCTGTACATCGCCATTGCCCTGTTCTGCAGAAGGACATGGCCTCAGTGTGTGTGTGTGTGTCTGCGTGTAAGAACTGGTGGGGAAGGCCCCTCATCAAGGAGCTCCAGCTTCAGCTACCTTTCTCTGTAAACAAACTGCTTCTCTTAATTTAATTTACCTCATTGGGAGGTAACACCCACTCAAGTGTGTTGTGTGAGTCCAGTGCCGTGGGTGGCTGTAACAAAATCCTGAAGCTCAGCAGATTATTTGATTCACAATCCTAGAAGCTCAGGGTCAGAACCTGGTGACAGTCTTCCCGCTGGGAAAGTCCTAAAGTCACACGAAGGATCACACAGCATGGAGTACAGGTCTCTTCCAAACCTGCTTCTTATATAGCCACTGGGATTAATACTTGGATTCTACCCTGATGACCTTGTCTAACCCCAATCTTGCTACAAAGGCCTCACTTCTAAACTCCAGAGAATAAAAGTTCTATCTTCCTACTACTTCACAATAGAGCCGCGAGTTGCACCCAAATCGATAGCCCCTAAACCAATGAGCCTCACAGTCTATGTGGTCCTAGCTCTCTTTCATAGTTTTCAATATCAAAAGGTAGCCTGCACTAAGATTTTCACCTCTACAGCAGAGCAGAGCACTAACATCACAAGAGGCAGTTATTTCCTGCAATCACCTCCAGCTGAGTCACTAAGCATGCGGTTCCCACGTATCAGCTCACTCAGTCACCATCCTGCTGCAACTCCACCATTTCATAGAAGCAGGACAAGGTAACTTCCACTTGTAATCACAACACTCAGGAAGCTGAGGCAGGAAGATGCCATGAGTTCAAGGCTAGCTTAGGTCATATATAGCAAGACAGTCTTGCGGGGAGGGGAACATAAGATGCTGAAGTTATACAAGATTGGACTAGTAAGAATAAACTCTAGATCCAACTATGAAACTCAAATCATACTATTTTGGATCAAGGATAAATTTCAGTTCCCCAGGCCAAGTCAGCTCACGCTCATTCTGTTTCTGACTAATGAGCAGAGCTTATCATTTGGAGTAATGGGTCCTGTAATAAGGTAGCAATTTGGTTCTGGCTTTAACATTGGACCACATTTTCAACAGCCTCTCCTGTCAACAGACTAGAGAGTTATGGTATATTCAAATGGTCTTTTGTGGAAACCCTAGCAGTGGGACCAGGACCTCTCCCGGACATTTGAACTGGCTCTTTGGAACCTATTCCCTTGTTTGGATGCCTTGCCCAGCCTTGATATGCCATGCTTTGTTGACTGCTATGGTAGGCTTTACCCCTTCTGAATGGAGATGAGGGGTAAAAAGTGGATGGTAGGTGGGAGGAGGGAATGGAAGGAGAGGAAGGAGGGGAAACTGTGGTTGGAATATAAAATAAATTTTAAATATATATATATTTAAATATTATGGGAAAAAGAATATGCAGCTAGAAGCCACCATGTATGAGAAAAGGGAATTTGAAATCTATCACAGAGCCAAACACCTCCAACCTGTTTCCAGATTTAAGGTATCTGGTCACTTTCCACTTCTGTGTCCACAAACCCACTCCTACACAGCAATGGTATCAAAACAGCTGCAGAGATCGAGGCACCAGCCCACAGCAGCGGCCACTCCTACACACAACTGCAGTGATATTTCCAAATCACACCTTAGACTTACACCAACGTCGACCTGCAGGCTATCTGCTTTGAAACAGTACATCAAACAGAGTGACTCTGTGACATTAGGAGAGCTGAAATAGATTCATCCATTTGGAGGACCACATACCTTGACACAGAGCATGGGAGGACACAGCAAAGAACCATAGCACACTTCAGATCTGAGCAAGGATTGTCCCAGCCATTAGAATGAACAAGGGCCACTTCCAAATTATTGAATATTTGAGATAATAATTTTTAATTCCTTAAAGAAACTAGAGGAATAATTTCACTGTTTAAATTTTTAGCCTGTAAAATTTATATGGCCATCAGGGAGGCATGAGTTTGTACAAGACAGAATGGTTTTTCTCCCACAGGTACTCCCAGACAGGTCCATGTGATACTCGCTACTAGGAGAACTTCTCCTCCCAATCCCCCAGAGTGCCTGCGCACTTAGGCACCCACATCCCAGGGCATCCACAAACCCATGGAGCTGTACAACTCGAGGATACTTTAGTATAGCTCTACTTTTTCACCTCCTTTCAATTTCCCTACACAGGGAGCCAGATCATAACTACTGTACTGTTAAGTTTCTCTCAATTTTTCCAGTAGGAGAAAGTCAAAACATTAACAACTGCAGCATCTCATCTGTACTGGGCTGGAGAGAAATGAAATAAATACAATCAGATTCTTCAGATGACACTGAAAAGAACGATGCTCAGTTTCAGTACTAGGACATAAATAGAGATAAGGAAGATTACTCTATACTTATCAAATGAGCAAAAAATCCACTAAGAAGCTATCACAATTTTCAACATACACAAGCTGAGCACAGGTCGATCCCATTTTGTTTTTTTAAAAAAAAAATCTATTAGAGGGGCTGGAGAGATGGCTCAGTGGTTATGAACACTGATTGCTCTTCCAGAGGTCCTGAGTTCAATTCCCAGCAACCACATGGTGGCTTACAGATCTGTATTGAGATCTGCTGCCCTCTTCTGGCCCGCAGGCACATATGCAGGCAGAGCACTGTATACACAATAAATAAATATAAAAAAAATCTACTAGACAGAAAACTCCCAATACACTGATAGTGACGTCAATACCCCACTCTCACCAACAGACAAATCATTTGGAAAAAACTAATGAGACAAACACTGGAGTTGAATGATACTATAAATCAAAGTACCTAAAAGGCATACATAGAGCATTCCATCCAAATGCTAAAGAATACACAGTCTAATCAACAGCCCATTTTCTCCAACCATGTTTTAGGATACAAAGCAATTCTCAATAAATATGGGAAAATGAAATAACATCTTGCATTATACATGACCACAATCATAAAATTGGATAGCAATAGAAAAAAAAAAGAAAATACACAAATTCATGGAATCTGAACACACTACTAAATGATAACTGGATAAAGCAAGATATCAAGAAGAATTATTAAAACTTCCTAGAATTCAATAAAAATTAAAATAGAACATACCAAAATCTATGGGACACAATAAAGGTAGTACTGAGAGAAAAGTTAATAGGACTAAGTACCAACATCAAAATATTTGGGAGATCTCAAATTAATAAATTAAAAGATGTACCTGAACGGCTTAGAAAAATAATATTCAAAAACAGTAGATCAGGAGAGAGAATCAAAATCAAGACTAAAAAATTAATAAAATAGAAATAAAAATACAAAGGTTAGTTGTTTGCAAATATTCACAAGATTGACAAAACTGTAGTCAGAATCACCAAAAGAAAAAGAGAAAAGACCCAAATTAATGAGAGACAAAAGGAAGACATTACAACAGACACTGAGGAAATTCAGAAAATCATAAGAACGTTGTTTTAAAATTTTATATTCCACTAAAATTGAAAATCTAAAATATTAATTTCTTTTTTTTTTTTTTTTTTGGTTTTTTGAGACAGGGTTTCTCTNTCCTGGCACTAGCTCTGTAGACCAGGCTGGTCTCGAACTCACAGAGATCCGCCTGCCTCTGCCTCCCGAGTGCTGGGATTAAAGGCGTGCGCCACCATCGCCCGGCAAATATTAATTTCTAGATGCAGATGACCTAACAACATTAAACCAAGGTGAAGTAAGTAGTGCAAACAGACCCATAACAATAAAAGAAGTATTCTTAAAAAGGCCAAGAACCAGGCTTCAGTGAAGAATTCTACCAGGCTTTCCAAGAAATAACATCAATACTCTGCCAATTGTTCCACAAAATAACTGATAAAAACAGGGGAGCTCTATCTTATTGGCTTTCATAGTGCTGGAAGGAGAAAAAACAATCAACTGTGTCACCCAATGGTGAACCCGGTGGGCTACAATAATGACCAACCCTGCAAGACCAGCTCAGTGATGCAATCATAGAACAAATATTATGGAAGAGACCAACCACTTTCTTCTTAGACTTAAAGTTCACTCCACAAGACAGAATTTATGTCTGATACTGGTAAGTGGGCCAAACACCCATGGCTGGCTAGGTCCTCCAAGG